ACACACACACACACACACACACACACACACACACACACACACACACATACAAAGTAGTTTTGTACATTTTCAGTGCTGCTGTGCTTTGACTGTGAGCCATCACGTGTGATCAGAAGTGGAAGATTCCCCACTGTGATACTGTGTCCCCGCCCCCATGTGATGTCACATCAGTACTGAAACAGTTTCACCTGCTATAGCATTTAAGATTTCAGAGTTCCAGAATGGGACTGTCCACGCTGGGGTAAGCTTGGAGAAAAGCAGGACCTCAGCATCGCCAACAGCCACTGCAAGCCTGGCTCTACCAGCAATCCAGTCTAGAGGCTACATTTACAGATCACAAGTAGTTCTGTTGCTTAACCGCAGACCACAGAATCTCTGCACATTTAGGAAAAGGTGAACCATTCCCTGGAAACGCCTCCAAGTGCTTGGAAAAGAAAAGGAGCCTCGTAGTTAAACAACAGTGCGATTAACAACAGTTAAACAAGCAGCGTTCAGGAAGGCGGACCACAGTGCTTCTAAACATTTTGGCAAATGAAAATGCAAGCATCAACTCGACTCTCGAGGAGTCAAACTGCTATGAAGGCTTGTAGGGGAACCGGTTTGTCCTTTCCAAATTGCCATCCTCACCCTGGGAGTCCACTGCCCCTGAGAGCTGGGGGCCATCCAGGAGCCAGTCTGTGAGCTCAGCGGTTCCTAGGAGATTGCTACGGAATTGCTTTCCTCCGTTCACATTCCAGGTTCCCACAGCAATCTGGACCCGCTTGAAATTCGTGAATTCTGACTGTCGTTCTGTCATGGCTTTCAGGATCCTGGGGGTCACTGTTAGAAAGAAAAAAAAAAAAAGGCACATGTTTTCTGCAGCCCAGATTGTAAAAAGCGTACAATACTACATGAGAGGTGGCCTGTCAGAGAACGCCTCTCATGAGCTGTGGACAACAGACCTGAACATGGTCCATAGGAGGATGACAGAGGAATAATCCCCACCCTAATCAGTCCACTTTCCTGCCTGCAACAAAGTGTGAAAACACAGGGCTGGAGATGGACCTTCCAGCTATAGTTACAGAGGCATGAGGCACCCACTGACAGGGGAGCTCACAGACTCCGGGAGAAAGCCTAGCACTTACTCTTCAGCCCAAGACCCTGCAGAACAGCACAGAATGAAAGTGAGGCCAAATGCAAAACCACATAACTGGTGTGTCACAGGCACAAATAATGGTAAACAGTGTATGCATGGATATACATGTGTGCATACACATATATATTGGATGGATGGATAGATAGAACTTTAAATGTCTTTATCAACCCAAATCTGCATCTTTGCAATTTTACCTTCCCCAGTCTGAAAGGCTGTTTTATTTATCTGACACAAACCTAAGGCATTAAAAGACAAAACAAAACACTGCAGCCATATCTCTGTCTTCTTAGAGACCCAAAATATAACCACAGTTTTAAAATCTAGCAACTTTAGGACCTGGAGAGATGGCTCAGAGGTTTAGAGCACTTGTTGCTTTTGTAGAGGACTGGGGTTCAACTTCCAGAACCCATATGGTGACTCAAATCCATGACTCCAGCTCCAGGGAATCCAACTCCCTCCTGGCTCCAAAATCATCAGACATGCACATGGTATGAAACATTCATATACAGAAAACAAAATTAGTATATCTAGAGAAAGAAAGCACAAACCAGCAACTTAAATCTATCTGCCACTAAATGATCTGTCTCAATGACGGCACCTAGAGTCGGCTAGAATTTTCCTGAGTTGGAAATTAACCTCAGAGCCGATATTCAATAGCATCCTGGAAGGTTAAATGTTCCCCAATTATGGAGCAATGAGAAGAGAAAGGCCTATATAAAGCTATTTTAACATCAGCTCATTTCTCTTTGCAAAGCACCAAAAGTTTCTAAAACGTAATCATTCTTATAAATAAACATGCTGCCTCTGCCCTCCCCCTTTCCATTAGAACATTAAAGTTCATAGTCTCTAAGGAATAAGATGCCATGAAAAGCTTCCCTACAGAAACCAGGCCTAATGGTGCATTTTGTAATCACAGATACTGAGGAGACTGAGCCAGAAGCATCAAAAGTTCAAGGCCGTCCTTGGCTACAGTGAGGTCAAGGCCAGTGTGGGCAGCTTAGTGAGAACCTGTCTCAACACAAATCTTAAAAAGAGGCTGGGGTTGTCCAGCTCTGTGGTCCGGCTCCTCTTGTGAAGTGTGTACCAAGCTTGAGGTTTCATCCCAAGCATCAAAAACCCGACAAAACAGGACAAAATCCTTCCCCAAAGAATCCTGACAGCCTCGTGAGACTGGACACACTCCCAACCTCTGGACTCAGCAATGTTCTTTCCTTTAATTTCTGAGGGGCCCTGAGAGATGGGGGCATCTGTGGAGTTTGCCTATGGAAACCTAGAGCCGGTGCTTTGTGGAGACATCAGGCTCTCCCAGGTCAACTGAGCAAACCCGAGGACCACAGGCCCGAAGCTCCGTCTGAGATTACAGGACCGGGGGGTGCTGGGGCCACTGCCACCCTTGCCCCTCGCACCCTTAGGGCTGTGGTCAGCCCGCTCGGGTGGGCATCAATTACCCAGAAGCGCCGTGTTGCCCAGCAGCATCCTTCCTTTGTCGGTGGACTCTTCGTTGTAGACATCTCCAACTAGCAGTAGCTTGATGGCCTCCTGTTTCACCCCATCGATGAAGTTGGACTGGATGGTACGAGACATGGATCGGGCCCCATCCTTCAGCTTCCCCACCTGCATGGGCCCAGATATCGGTGAGCGGGATCTAAGCGGCCTTCCTTACTGCTCCCTCAGCTGCCCCTACCTTGGCCTCCCATCACCGTCAGCCAGCCCCTACCTTGGCCTTTCCTTCCAGGGCCCTGCTCCCTGTGAACACCTTGCTCAGGCCATGCCCATTCAGAGACCACATGGCTTTGAAGGACTCCACAAAGCGGTCAGTGATGGGCTTTGAATTCAGCCCCAGGCTCTCAAGCTGCAGGTGAAGGACCTGGGAGAGACCAGCCACAGTTATCACCGGAAAACCTACCGATATCTCCGAGTGAGCACCTTTACTCATCAGACTGTGGACAGGGAGATGCAGAGAAGGGGCCTCCCCACCCTGACTCTCCCAACTTTGACTGCCTGATGCCAGATCAACCAACGTTACTGTCGGAAGGCACTGAGGGACAGTGGGTGTCACAGATGGACCTATAAATCGCCAGCCAGCCAAGGCAGGTAGGACCACAATGGCACTCGAGTATTTTCCCCCCCAGGCTTCAGGGACAAGTCATCCTAGCCAGCCTCGCGCCACCTTGGCTCTGGGGTATATTTAAGACCCTGTGTCTATAATTAATAGCTGCTTCTTAAGGGCATCTGGAGCTTTGGGCCACAACATCTGGGCGGAGAGGGAAAAGCATATGGTGGTGCAGGCAGGAAGTCACCAAGGAAACGGCTCTAAAGTTCCCACCCCATGTCCCTGTCACGTGACCTATTCACTGGAAAGGTCAACCCAGTAAAGCCACCCTTGCCCCACTGGCACCCCAGAACACGACACAGATGGCCCGAGGAACTCACCTCAAGAGCAATGAGGCGCTGCACAGTGTTGGTTCTGTCCAGGCAGTCGAGACAGTTCATCCGCAGAGTGCCTTTCTGAAAACTTAGGGCCAGGAGACACAGAAGGATCATGAGGTGTTTGGAAGCAGCAACCACAGCTCAATGACTTAGGCCTGTCTGCTCCAAGGAAACGTGTTCCAAAAAAGGACCCCTGGCCTTCTCCCTCGGAGCTCATCAGAAGCCCCAGGCAGACCCCAGAACACACCCTCAGCAGCCCACACCCCCAGGCCACTGTAAGCACAGCTGTTTTTTGTTTGTTTGTGGAGATAGGGTTTCTCTGTGTAGCCATGGCTGTCCTGGACGAGCTTTGTTAACCAGGCTGGCCTCGAACTCAGCCCGCCTCTAGCGGCCTCCCCTAGGGCTGGGACTACAGGTGTGTGCCACTGCACCAGGCTGCACGGCTGGTTCTCGTTATCTACAGTGACGACATTTTGCAGATCTCCCAGAAGCCCATACTGAAGCATCACTCCTGCTGAAGCTAAATACCGGCGTCTCTGGCGCTACCTCTGCTGGTCAGTAATGATCTTGCTTTGCATGTTTTTGTTTAGAGGCACACACTGGTAAACGCACACAGGCAGGCAAACTTTGGATGGTGTAACTCAAGCTCTGGTTTTCTGGTCTTACGGGGCTTTGACGTAAAGTGGTTTTACCAGGCAGTAACCACTCTAAGTCGAGTGGCACCTGCATGCCGCTGCTTTGCCAGCATGGACCCTTGCCAACCGCGCTGCAGCTCTTGCCTGGAGGAAGGTATCTAGTGTGCGTCCTTTGTAGGGAACAGGCCTGCCGTCCTGCGTTTAGAAAGCCAGGCAGCATGTTGGCACTGAGGTTAAACAAAAACACCACCCAAGAGAAGCACAAAAACGCGGACATCACGGCAATAAGTAGTGAGAAGATAGTTTTTACAGTAAGAGTTCAGACAAGAAGGCAGAGCATGGCCTTGTTCATCTACCGGGCAGCAACATTTTCAGTGTTCTGCATGTGTGTCTGTGAATGGCAGTGAGCATGTATGTGGAGAACACGCTGTGGAGCCCGGAGTTTCAGTGAGGAAGTGACTTCATAAATGTAAGATCTCCTTCCGATGACGGGCTGTGGGCTGAGGAAGCTGGGTCTCCTTAATGCTCCTCTCAGAGCAGGGTGACTTAGCCCAGTGCTGTCGGCGGCCCTGCGGCTTTGTACCAGATCACCTTATAGGTCCTGTCCCAGTGTGGCTAAGTCATGTCACCTGAGCTCAGAGGGGTTCTTGTTTGCTTGTTTGGGTTTGTGGTTGGCTTTTATTTCTGAGACAGAGTCTTAGGTAGCCCAGGATAAGCCTAGAACTCACTATACATGACCTTAAACATTTTTTGTTGTTGTTGTTTGATTTTAAAGATTTATGTTTATTTATTTATATAGTATTCTGCCTGCAGGCCAGAAGAGGGCACCAGATCTCATTATAGATGGTTCTGAGCCACCATGTGGTTGCTAGGAATTGAACTCAGGACGTCTGGAAGAACGGCCAGTGCTCTTAACTTCTGAGCCATCTCTCCAGCCTCTCCATCCTTCTGCCTCTTACCCTCCAGGTGCTGGGATTTCAGGTATGCACTACCATACCTAGTTTTGCTTGATCCTGGGGACTCGACTCAGGGGCTCTGTGCATGGTAGGCAGGCACTCTCCCCACTGGGCTATATTGCCAGCTTTGAGCTCAGGGTTGTAGTAAAATCCTTTATTTCTTTTCCCAGAAAACCAGGAATTCCCATCTTCTCACTAAATTCGAAAGCATGTCTCTGACCGCAGAGGGAGAACAGACGATCAGGACCCCAGAACCCCAAAATCACAGAGCTTATGATTCAGGGAACAAGTGTAGCCAGGCAGCCAGAGAGGGAAATAACTCCTGTGGAGGTGCCTAACCGAAGGGCCCACAGCCTCCAGGTTCCTCCCACAGCAGGTTCCTGACGCTCCAGCGAGACTCACCGTGGACTTACATTCTCGCCTTTTGCAAACACACCAAAGTCATCCCAGTGTAGCTTTAACTGAGGCCTTAGCAGGTTCTCCAATTTCTCTAGCTTCCCACCTTTGGCAAACTGATGGAAGTCAAAATTTATCATAGGCGTGTCGACTGCGTGGCAAGAAGCCCAGAGCAGCTTCTGAAAAGGGAGAGGGAAGGGCGTGAGCACAGTGACAGCAAAGAGTGGGAAGCAAGACAAGGTCTTGCCTGCGCTTGATTGCTGTGGTTACTATTGTCACCCACTAGAAATGTACTAGACTGGCCCTGCCCTTGAAAGGGAAACACAAGCCAAAAGCCCCAGGAGAGAAGAGCAGAAGATACAAAGAGCATCTTGCCTGCATAAGGGCAGAAGGTCCCCCTTGGGCAAGAGAGCCCACAGCAGGGGTGTCTCTCCGGGGGACATCCCACTCTTCAGGGGCTCAGAGGTCACAGGTGAGGGAAGGTTAGATCTGTTCTTCCGGTGGCCCAAGTGCCCAACCCTCAAGAACAGCAACACATGGCAGGCTGCGCAGCTCATAATCTAGCTCCTGTTGCCCTGGTAACCAGCTGCATCCAGGCCCTGAAAGGGTGAGCTCAGCAACAGTTGAGTCTCCAATAGTTGAGATGGCCAAACCCAAGATGGAGGAGCTGTTGCCCCATGTGACCCAGGCCGTGCCAGAAGCTGGAGTAAATAAAGGTGGGAGACACAGAAAGACCAGCACTGTGGATGGGGCAGGACCCTCCTCATAGAAGCGAGGCCTCCTGTCCCCATTTTTCCCCCTTCCCTAGCCTGGCAAACTTCCTCAGCCTATTCGCTGAAACACACTGGAGTAGGAGACAGGCTACCTGCCTTCCTTGGCTGCTTGCCTCTGGACCTCATTGTATTAGCCCAATATCTGCCCAGATAGAGGCTCTGAGAACTCCTAAGAACTAGGAGGCTCTGGATCACTCCCCTAGCCACTTACAAATTAACGTTTCCCTTCCACTTCAAGAAAGTCTATTGGGAAAAAGAAGCCTGTGTAACTAAAACAAACAAACAAATAACTTAGTGGCTTTGAGTGTTACCCTCTGGGGTCAGCCCCTTGCCCAGCTGTGGAATGATAACCTTTGGCACCCAGGCTAGCTGCTAGGCACTGGCCTCCATCTGGTAAGGGATGCTCAGGAATTAAGAGCCATGGCTGAGATCTCCAAGTAGAGTGTTAGTTCTACCTACTCAGGATCCATCCTTAACTCCTGGCTCATCTCTGTCCTCTGGCTATACAAGAGGCCTTTACTTCAGTGCCAGGGCATTGCCACCAGTTGGCAGAGGGGCTGGCCATGTCCTTTCTATAGTTCAAGCACAAAAGAGTTGGGGTTTTTGTTGGAAGGAGAGAGACTGAGATTGATTTTCTTTATTGCCCCTTTCTCCTCACCTTCCTTAAAATAAGCAGTGAGCATTGCTGCTGCCAAGAGAGGTGGGAGGAGATATTTCTTGAGCTTGTTGCTCATAGCAACAAACTAAACAGGAAAAGCAAGTCTGGCCAAAGAAAATTGACAATCAGCGAGCTCCTGCTTCATGTCTGTAGCTTTTTTAAGTAGAGAGAAATGTGAACTCTGGTTGGATTTGGCTTCCTCCAGCCAGGGTTTAGGGGTCTGAGGTCAAGGTGGCAATGAAAGCCACATAGGTCACCTCCCTACCACGATGACCTTAAGGTGTCTCCATAAAGGACTTCTTTGAACTTCAAACAAGCAGAGACCATGAAGCCTGGGCAGGAGGGAGGAGGCCATCTCAGCTCACAGAACCTTCTATAGAAGACTGCCAGTTCCAGGGTTCTGTGTGTGGCCAAGGGACCTGAGTGGATTCACTAGCACTACCTGCTGCTTCCTCACCCTGCTGAGATCCACTCTGCTTGGAACTGGAATCTGCTTGGAACTTGGAACTGCTTGGCACTCAGGAATCGAAAGGAGCCCTACCAAGAGCTGGCACACGGCCTCCCTGGCAGTCCAAATATGACCATGATCCAGGCAGAAGGAAGCCCCATGGGTCTGCTTTGAAGCTAGAGGCTCAGAGCAGCAGGCACAGATGCCCTGGGTACTGGCAGGTGGGGCTCTGAGGAGTCAGGATAATGCTAGGCTTCCCCTTCTATTCTGGCCTGGACGGCAGCTCCTCGGGAGCATGGGAGGCCTCTCTGCCCATGTGGAGTACTCAGATGAGCAGGGCTGCCTGAACCTCAAGGCCCTACCACATGAGTAGGCCCCACCTTGGTCCCTCTCCTCCCCTCCCCCCCCCGGCTGTAGAGCAGGGTGAGCATTACCTTGAAAGCCCTGTTGAGCACCTCCTCACCACCTCTGCTTCCCAGCAGGTTCACGACCACCTGCTTCCCGTACTGCTCCTTCAGAAGCACCATGTGCCTGCAATGGTATCAGGGTTGGCGGTGACGCCATGGCACCTAGGCCAGGCAAGCATGCACCTCCAGCTCAGCACTGCAGGTCCAGGGCCAGCTGTGTCCCTAATCCCAAGTGTACAGAGGAGACAACCCCATTCTCCTGGCTAGCGTCACTGCTCATCCAAAACCCACTGCATCTAAGTCAGTCAGTCCAGGCTGGATGAATGGAAGGCTTTGGTCTGGAATAATGTCAAACACAGGAGACATTTAGATGAGGCTATGCTGGCCTTTCTACAAAGCGCCACCTAGCAATGGCCCCCAGCTTTTACGGACAGCTGTGCAATTTCAACAGGCCCATCTCCGAAGTTCTCTCTTGGTGCTCCTCCTTTCCCTATTAGAAACAGTTGGTGGTGGTGATGGGGGAGCTTCAATCTCTACCTCAGAGGTCAACTGCATGCCTGGTGCTGCGTTTCACCGTGAAAACCAACTTAAATGGCATCACACACGCGCAGGGCACATTCCCCCTTCCAATACCACAGAGGGGCGCCAGTACTTAATCTTTATCACAGTTGCTGGAAGTAACTTTATTTTTCCTTGGGTCTCAGAGTCCAGGCTGGTCTCAAATTTACTATATAGCCAAGGATGGCCTTAAGAACATGATTTTCCAGAGTCCACTTCTCAGATGCTGGCGTTACAGGCAACAGCCACTTTGACTAGCAAAAGTACCTTAATAATTTTGATTTTAGAAATAGTTCAATATAGTGATTTTAAAAATAAGAAAATACAATGTAAAAGTCAGAATATTTAATATTACAGTCAAATATTCACTGTAATATTAAAAGTAGGTAAAATGTTAAATTCGTTTTTCTTTTTTCAACATGTTTTTCTTTTCCAGGTTCTACAACTTATTTTCATTTATTATATATTTATATTTATATATATTTATATATATATTTATTATATATATTATATTTATTATATATATGTGTGTGCATATATAATTATTTTTAAATTCATAAAGAACTATTTTTAGTCTGAGGAGGTCTTTTAAAATGAAATGTATATGCCAAAGCTTTTATCTAGGATATATAGGTAATTGATAAATAGGTAAAATCTGAGAGGCACTTGGGAGTCCCTTTTTTATTCTTTTATTTTACACTTTTCTATACTTTTAAAATTTTAATATGTTACACTTTTAACCAGAAACAGTGCTGATAACCTATAATTCAGATTATCCCTTACTAATCAGGACTAATTGGTAAATCTTCATTTTAAGAAGTAAATGGTGAGATAAAATAATTACAAAGTGCCACCTACACGCTGATGAATTAATTCTCAAGGAGACTTGAGAGGAAGCAAAATTCCCATGTTATGAATTCCTTTCTTGGGTAACGACCAAAGTCAGAGACAGATTTGATTCAGGATGGGATTCCCCCTTCCCACTGTCCTGCCTCTTGCCCTGCTGTGTACACAGATGGTGGAAGGTCTTAGACGGTACCCGATGGTCCTTACCTTTCAAAAGCAGGGGCGTTGGCCTCTAGGCCTCTGTGTAGCCTCAGATGATGGGAGCCAACCTACAGACAGAGAACAGAACGATGACGACGATGTTCACTGAGCCAGGAGGATGGCTTTCTCGCTCTCTGCAGCCAGGCTTCACATGGCACCTGCTCTGCCATCGCTGTGGCTCACTCCCTGTAAAGGCAGGTCAGCACCCTTCACTCTGCTAGCGGTACTCCCCAGCTTGCAAGGACTGGTATCCCCAAGTCTGGCTCTGCTGCTGCAGGGTCCCTAACTGTAGCATGGACCATGCCAACAAAGTCCTTCCACTTCTGTTCTTCCATATGGAAGCCACTGTGACAAGCTGGGCAGGTCCTGGACAGGCCTGCCTGTCTCCCTGAGCCCCAGCCTCAAGGCTCTTCTGCTGAATGAGTGGCACTGAAGGCACAGTGGACTGCCCAGGCTCTAGGTTCTCTGCCACATATACCACCTATCATCCAGTGCTGAGTCACTGAGTGCTGAGTCAACGTGTCACCAGGTAGCCAATCAGGAACAAAGTGAGAAGACTGAGTCCCTGACCTAGGCCACTCTCATGTAGCTATGGTTGCCACAGAAAGATCCAGAAATGGTGAAAAGTTCTCAGCAAGTCTGCAAAACTTGAATTAATATAGTGGAGACTGCACTGGGACCAGCGGTGCCATCGTGTGGCATGAGGGACCTGCTCTATTTGTGCTCGCTCCCGCTACCACATCGGGAAGATGGGCCACAGGAGGAAAGCTGGGGCAGCGGCAACAACCAACAGCAAGAGAAAGCACAGTCCAGCCCACAGAGTGGAATGGGACTGGCTGAACGCTCATGGTCATGTCGCCATGGCTAATCTAACAGTGCAAACAATGAACCCACTCTTGGGAACACAAGGAAATCGAGGACACCACCCCCACAGGAATGATCAGGGTAGGAGATGGGTGGAAAGGATCTGAGTCTAGGCCAGTAGGTTCCAAGTGTGCTCCATGCATCCTCTGCAGACAAGTTAGAAATGCTAAGTTGAGGGCCCAGATCAGATCTGCTGAGCTCCGTTTCTGAGGGTGGGGTCTGGAATGTGTGTTTCACAGGCCTCCAGCTGACTCCTACATGCACACCCATTGTGGTTTGGCAGCACGAGTTTTGACTCATTTCCTGTCTCTTGCTAACCCTCTTTTGCTCTGGCTGTGAAAGTACGTGAGGGCACATCAGGGACCGAGAAGCTTGGGGCTGCACCACACTGCAAGGCTGCAGGGAATGCTGCGGCTTCAGGTCAATGCCCTCCATTTTCTAAAGTGAGTTAGAGCTTTAGGTGGGAATGAGGGCTGTTAGTCTGGACTCTCAGGCCCTGTGCCCTGTCTCTGGTGTCTCCAATTCCACTATTCTTTCCTCCACCTCTAGCCCACTGTAACACTGTACCAAATCGTCTTTCTGGCATCACCCACTCCCAATGTGGGTGTGTCAACAGGCTTGGGAAAGCAGCTGCGACTGGCAGAATGAAATCCCTACTGGCCCTGTGTTGCTTTTTTTTAGTTTCCCCTTCTTCTCCATCTCAGCCTCCCTTTCTGGCTAAAAGACTGGTGATCCTCGCCTGAGCCCGAAAGCTATTAGTTTAATCCCATATCTTACACAACTGGAGTTCATAGTCCAATTTCCAAGGACACCTTCTGGAATCACAGCAGAGAGAGGTTCAGCTTGCACCCAAGAGCCCTGGCAATCATGACCAACATCTCCAGCTCTACAGCGCCCACTGTTTCCACTCAGAGGCTAGCAGCTTGCTCACTTCATCAGCTCCCATTGGGGTCTCCTTAGGAACACTTCCTGGGTCTCTGTCTAGTCGTGCTTCTCTCTGAGCTCGTCTGTGACCATGGTCTAGCGTGTGGCAACAGCTCTACTAGTTTATCAGTTGACCATGGCACAGCTCTGTCCAGCTTGATGTGCTGAGGCCATGCTGCCAGTGCTGACAGAAGTAGACAGACGCTATAATCAGCTCCTTCACCACCAGACCTCAAAAATGGCTCTCACTTGGACCCCAAACACTAAGATAGTGCCATTCCCTAGATATGAACCTCAGGGGCTATCACAATGCGCCTGCCATTCATTCCCCTGCCAGGGTTGCCCTGCTAGCCCGAGTGGTTCTAATCCCCGAGTCAATCCAGATAAAAGTACTGAAAGACCCTTTCTACACCCCTGAGTACTCTCACTTCTGCCCACGCAGGGCCGCCCGCCCTGAGCTAGTGCTCAGGTCTCATCTTTCCTCTATTCATGTAACACTGTCATGTGCCTGTCCCTTGCTCCTTGAAGACAAGGACTATATCTGATCCCAGATGTCCAGTGTACACAGAAAATACTCCATTAGTGTTCCTAGGATGTCAGAGTTCTTATCAAGTGTGAGGCATGGAAGGGAAATAGCCAAAGACACAGTCCTGTGTTCCTTGGGTATATCTGAATCCTTGGGAAGGTGAGAAAACTTTTACCCACTTAATACACAGAGTCTCACTTCCCAACACGGCTTGTATTGATCTCCATTCACTTCTATTATATTGGTAAAACAGCTACTATTTTGAGTACTGTGGGGTCTACATACACACTATGCTAAATTCTAGTCTGTATATGATCTTTAATCCTCTCTATAACCCCATGAGGCAAGTATTATTAATCCCACTACACAGAAGAGTAAACTAGGGTTTAGCAAAGATAAAACATTTCTTTAGAATGGTTAGGGTTAGGGTTAGCGTTAGAACAACCAGGCTTGGGCTGGACCTAGGCCCATGTAACTGATGGGCAGCTTGGTCCTCATGTGGGTCTCCTCACAACAAGGAGAATGTGGGTTGTATCTGACATGAACTCTCTTGCCTGCTTTTGGATTACTTTTCCCTAGCAAGGTTGGCTTGCTTGGCCTCAGTAAAAGAGTATTACTAAGTCCTTATGGGACTTAATGGGCCGGGGTGAGTTTGCAGGGGGAGGGAGGCTCCTGTTTTCTTAGGAGAAGTAGAGATGGGAAAGGGAGAAGAGGGTGGGAGGAAAGGAGGGAGGGGCTGTGATCAGGATGTATAATGAGTAAATGAATAATGAATAAATTTAAAAAAACATTTTTTCAAGAGCACATGGTTGTTACCAAGTAAAATGCCCACATCTCCCTAGCTTCAAAAATTACACCCAGAACTCCTAACAGATAGTTTTGCAACCTCAGTTGCCCCCTTGATCAGGACAAACATGAAGTTATGTTCTGTTGGGCTACCAGCCCCACGGTACCCACTTCATGGCTTAATTTGGCCCTTTGGTTTTAGTTCATTTCAGCACGGGGACTTTCCCTTCCTTCATTTACCCCAGGATTTTCTGTGCCATAAGTCATCTCGATTCTCTATAGTGAAATGGAAGAGGCACACAAAGAGGGGCCAGTACCACCACGTTCCCAAGAACAGGCATTTGAAAGAGAAGACACGAACATAGATGAGAAGCTCTGACCTTGCATCTTTCCATCACGTGAACTTCAAGGCAAAGGCTAGACTCACGTGTGGCAGACATGTGTCTGTTCCAGTTACAGACATGACAATCCTGAGACGGCAAAAGAAGTAATCTCTCCCAGACAAATGAAGAACACACTCGCCCCGTCATAAGCTCTGCCAGAAGAGCCTTGAGTGTTGAAGCTCAAATTCTTACTGCGATGAATATAAACTGCACAGCTATCTTCATGGGACAGACAAAAATCATTAAACGTACATGGATGGCTTGCAGAGCAGGGATCCAGGAGTCTGTACCGAGGGCATCGTGCCCATGGCTCCCTACAAGGCATCTTGGCGCTCTGAGTCTCCCAGCCCCTCTCCCCATCCCTTGCAGAGTGCGCATTTCTTAGCCACCCAAGAAGGCACTGCACTACACACCCTTCCCCAGCACATATCTGCAAGAAGAAAGAGCAAAATTGGAAATGGAAAAAGACAAGGGGAAACTGAAGCCAAGATCTACTGTGTGAGGACGGAGCCTGCTGTCGGGAGAGGGGGAAAGGGGGTGGGGAGACAACCAGAACCAGTTCTTGGCCTGATCGTTGCTACAGGATGCAGACTACCATGGAGAGCTGCCCACACCTTTCTGAAGATGATATAATCTCTCTTTGATGATGGATGGTACTTAGAGTATAAATACAGGTATTAGCAAATCCCAGCAAGGACTTATGAACACCAGCCTTTTAAAACCTGTGTCTGAAGACAACACTGAGGCTTTGCCAAAGGACAAGGGTTGGGAATGTAAAAGGGTAAAGCAGCTGTCTGGATCCTGTTCCATGTCCATCTGAGGCCCAGTCATACCATGGCAGAGTCAGGCTATGTCTAGAGCACTGCAGACCAAAGTTAATTTACATGGGGAAATGGCCAACAAGCTAGGTCTTATGTTTTAGGTGAAAGAGACCAGAACACTGGGGCCAGGCAATCAGACAAGAGATCCTCAAAAGAACGGGAAGATGCTGGAGATGACCAAATGGAGGGGACAGAATCACGAAGCCTCTCATCCAACAGCTACAAGAGATCCTTGAGAGAAAAGTGAGACTGGCTCGTCAGTACCCCTGAGCATCCTGGAGAGTCAGGCAGGCAGATAGCAGCCTGGTATAAGGAAGCCTTTCCAGTCATTAGGACCCCCAGTAAGACCTGAGCGCGACCTCCCAGAAGTCCAGGAAAAGAGACCCTCCTATAGAGCTGGGAGGGCCTTTCAGTGTCCTTCAGAGTCCTTTCAGTGTTCTGAGACCGTTATGACCAATATTGGGGTTCTTATGAGTTTCACATGAACATAACATAGCCTCCTGGATTCCTTTGTGTGTCGTGTTCACTTGTTCTCCTACATATAGAGCTCAAGATGTTTCTAAAGGAAAACCTACATTTAGAGCAAAACAAGTTTGAAGCACCTTTTGCAGACATCCTGGGCCATAAAAGGAGCTATCTTAGGGAGTGTAAGCTCTGCTAGAGATTGGTGGAGTTCTGGCTGCAGGTAGTCTTGGAAAAAAAAATGCTTCAGAACTGATTCCTAGACCTGAGTCTACAGAGACAGTGGGTAGGCTGAGAGTTTCTGGAGCCTGAGCTGGAACTGAGAAGAAGGTGATTGCCAGTGGCACAGGAGTCCCAGAAGTGGTGAGACACTTCCAAGTTCGAGGTGAGGTGTGGCTCAATGGTAGAGCTCCTTCCTGCCCAGCCTTTGGGAACCCCTGGGTTTGATTACCACTGGAGGGGGGGGGGGAACGACTATTCTAAACTTAGATTACAGAGTTTGTTATCTGCTCTGCAAATGCTTTAAATGGAATTTATTGGAGAAAAGTTGTATCTCAATAGAAATGTTTAAAACACAGAACAATAACAAGACTTCCAGGAGCTGGCTATGGCGGCACAGGTCTGTAAGCCTAACAATTGTTAGGCTTGAGGCAGAAAGATTGCTACAAGTTCAAGGCTAGCCTAGGCTCCAGAGAGAGACAAAAATAAGCAGAACAGTAACAAAAGACCTTTGGAAAGCCCCCAGGGGAATTGTGCCCTGTTACATGCAAGCTCAAACTCAAGCCTCCTGAACTGAATGTCAACAAATCATCACCCCAGCCCCAGAACTCGGAACCTGAATGAACTGCTCCATCTATCCATCTTACTCTAAGAGCTGACAGGGATGTGGCCAGTGCTGTCGACATGGCACGATAAGTTGGCAGCCCTAGAGAGAAGTCTAGGCTGGGCACTGTGAGACTTGTGTCAATCATTCCTGAGAACCTGGCACACGGTACTCTTGGCCTCTTGGCTGACCACCCAACCCTCATTCCACAAGAACCCTGGGAAGGAAAAGCCAAAGACTGAAGACCCAGGAAGAAGCTTTTTTGGGCACTTTGGTCCCTTAGAGGCAGAACAGAACAGAGCGAGGAGGACCCTCTAGCCACTCTCCCCAGATGCACTTTACCCAAACTCACTTAAGGGAGCAGCGTGCCTTTTAGTAATAACAGCTGTGTCCTTGGACGGTGTCCCTGGCCCCTGAACCCTTCTCGGGACACAGAAGCTGAATCCCTCTGGCACTGCCCAAAGCTGTGCTTTGGATGGTAGAAGGTATTTTTAGAAATCACGGGAAAGCTCTGCAGTCCTCGCCTGGCTCTGCACAGCACCACAAAATGCCAGACCCATGATGTAGCCACCAAGGGCCCAGCAGACCCTCCTGAGCCCTCCAGGGGATTCCCAGCTGCCAAATATATTATCAGTAGAGTCAGCCTGGGCCAGTCCCACTCAGGCACTCTCTGGTTCATCCCCTCAATATATCCTTCACCACATAAAGTCAACAGCTAAAATATACATGGTCTGCAGGCCCCAAACTACACCCAGGATGCCTGTTAATATCTCTCTCTCTCTCTCTCTCTCTCTCTCTCTCTCTCTTTCTCTCTCTCTTTCCCTTCCTCCCTCCTCCCCTCCCTCCTCTCTAGCTTGGCTCAACACAATTGGGCTGAGGAAGAAGACCATAAACTACACCATGAAAGAAACAAACATGTTTAAATGAACAAACTCCAGCTACTGAGAAAGAGACCAGAAGTACAGAGGTGCACCGACAGAGTGGAAAGCCTTCTGTGGAAATTACCTACCTGAAGCCCTGGCTGCTCCCAGAACAGCGGGACGGAGCCTCGGATCTGGACAAAGGACGATACCCCATCATCCATGTAAATCGTCTGCGGCACAGGGAAACAGAAAAGAGAAACAGACTCTTCAATGAAACTGAATGTCCTGGGCTGTAACGGGATCCGGTGCCTGTGACCTGACACCAGGCTGGAGGGCAGCCGGTGGACTTCGGTGCCCTCTGCTCTCTCACCTAGCAGGGCTGGCACTGCTCCCTCATCACTCGCCAGACAACAAGGCTACTGCCTGGATTTCTGAGAAGGGGTCTGCATGCAGACCCGATATGTGCAGGAATTCTCACTCCTAATACATGACATTATCTGCTCCCTGTAAAGCCTAGCACCCATTTCCCACTTTAGAACCAGAAGCAAATATGCTGGGGGGGGGGCAGTTATCTTAGACCTTTGCAGAAGGCTCAATAACTAAGGCGCTGTTGGTAAAGGACTGGACCATAGAAATCAGCTCTACTGAAAGTCCCTCCCATAGTACCTGCCACTGTTCAACTTGACAGCCCAAGTCAAGGCTCAACTTGAACTTGTCTGTAATCCTGACCCTGCGACACTGTGTTTTCCAACATACCACCAACCAACATCCATACAACAGGTTTCACAAAATACAAACCCTTCATAGAAATAAACGGTGATTAAATTAAAATAATGATAATAGCCCCTGCTGACCAGTTTTATAGTGGCCCGCCTACCTCCAATGATACAGGAGTGAATGAGTTTAAAGAACACAGAAACAAAGTCCTGAGCAGGTACGGGGGATGGCTGCAGTGGCTATCAGATGGTGGCCTTTATCTGTGCAACCCTACCCTGGCCTGGCAGGGCCACCACAGGCGCCGCTGCGAGTCCTTTCCATTGCTCACTGGCCTGCTCTTTTACAGGGTAGCTTTCCACACTGGCTAGATCATGCTCAGGTGCACATGCATTAGTAATTCTTCAGGGGGAGGGAGCTGGACAGTGAGACCCGAGGTTCTCTGGATCACAGGAATGCCATGAGCCTGGTATCTGTGTTGTAAACTAATTCTAGCCTTCGTCTCTAGAAAAAAAAATACACTAGGTTGGGAATGAGCTGTTTCCAGGTATTGGCTACCAGCAAACATGCTGCTTGCATTATCCTATTTGCTACAGTGCAGGAAGGCCTTCTCTCCTGAGATCAAAGACACAAGACTAAGTGCGTCCCTGACAAAGAAGCGAAGTTAGCTAACGTGCTAACATGAATACAACCGTTTACAGTGCCAGAATCTGACCTAAGCTAAGGACTCTCATGCTTTACTCTGATGACCTTGGACTTCAAACACTACTTTCAGCCTCAGCCTGGTTCCTTCAGAGCTCAGTGCAGGACGCAGACCCTGGAACTCCTCCCCGGGGAAGAGTTCTTTCTTTCTCCATTTATGTCGGAGTCCCCTACCCCGTCACCCAGTGTAAACCCAGCAACCAACACAATGGTGTTCCACAGCCCTTCTACATTGGGTGAAAGAACAGCCTGAACACTCACGGGTCTGCCTTTCTCACAGGTGCCATTTGCCCCTAGAGAGGAAGGATGGAGAAGGATGCAGGTGAGAACCGAGCACTGAGAGAGGACCATTAACCTAGGCACTTCATTGAACCACTTTCATCCTGCTTCCCTCTATAGCGTACTAAATATCACCTGGTACCCAGAAAGTGCATTTAGGTCCACTCTCCTGGCCTGGAGTGGTCACTTGCAAAATGTCACTGCTATGTGTGGATGAGGCCACTCACAGTCAAGAAGGCTGGGCAGGGACAGACATTAGGGCAGGGAGGCCTAGTTGCAGGAAATGGGGGCAGGGGCAAAAACAGGCAAGATAGGAAGGGAGACTCAGAAGAGCTAGAGTCCTGGGGAGCAAAGAGGAACCCCAGTGCTAATGTCACAGGAGGCCTGGTTCTATGGAGCCAGGAGGACCTCCCAAGCAGTTTCTTTCATAGAGGGATGAGAATGGAAACGGGGCTGGAAGAAGACTGGGTGACCCAGGGAAGGCTTTTACTTCCACAGATGCAGTGTTTACAAACCCATGCCTCCCCACCAGCACCCTCAGGAGGACACGTACAGTCATCCTAACCGCCTGTGGTTAGGTGGTGGTCTGACTGTCAATGTTTATCATGCGCCCTTTTGCTGACAGGCTGAGGGACTATGGAGTTTGTTCCACTGCAGCTGAGTCACTGTGGCAGATGGAGCCGACTGCGTAGGACTCACAGCTGAGCTGACGAAAGCTTCCCGGCTTCCTCCCAAGAAGCTGGAGAAAGCATCCACCACATGGACACACAGGGTACAAGCATCCACATGTGCGTACACATTGCATAATTGTACATGTACACCCACAAGTACAACACACAACCACACTTGTATGGACTTAAACATACAACATACATAACATATGCATGTACATACCACACGGATGCAAGAACACAAAACGTACTTATAGACAGACATGTACACAGGCACACGTATATGTACACACACACGTACACACACACACATCTGCATGCTAGGGGCAGGAGGTATCCTATGCTAGTACAGGGCTGAGCCCCACCTGGGCTTGGCAAAACGATGGTCTTAAGAAGCAGAGACCCGGCATAGGCACCGGGTGGCTTACAGGCCTACAAGTAGACTTTGCTGACAGCCCAATAGCTCGTTTCTCAGTTGCCATTGGGCCCACCCTGTTTTGCAGAGTGACGGTCCATCCCAGAGGTCATCTCCAAGTTTCATGCGGTTAGACTGCCCTAGGACTCCGCCAGCCTGAGCCAGCCTGGGATCCTGTTCCCCATGGGCCCTGTCAGTAGCCACTTCAAATGTACATGTTCAACAAAGCATTGCTCTGGGCTTAAGGCCATAACCCTCGGGCCAGTTATGTGTCTAGTGAGAAGTCTTGTGGGGCTAAATTACACCCTCTCAGCTCCTCGCTGTTGATCGTGGACAGCAGAAGGTGGTGTCTGCCCATTAACATCGATCGCTGCAGCATGAGAGGTCAAGTAAGAAGTTTATAGGGTTGCCAAATGTGGCCCGGATGGAGGAAAATGGAACGTTAAAAAACACAAATTGGGAAGACCACAAATGCTTATGGGAGCCAAGAAATCCCTCCTTCAACCCCAAGAAATTAGAAAGCAGCAAAGCCTCTATGACCTGTGCCTCTTAGAAGCGTGGTGAAATTTAATCCCCATCGTCAAATGTTGACTAGCACTCTGCCTTCATGGATTGATTAATCCACTCATTAAATTGAGTGGTTACTGGATTATTTTAGGAATGAGTTTTCAAATCAAAGCCATTTAGGCTAGGCTTCCTATGTGCTGTTTCTCATTCACTATCGATGCCCTGAATCCCAGGACTCTGTCAGGGAGTCAGCACGAGGTACGGGCCCTCCACCTTAGACCAGAATTATGAGCCGAAATCAGTCTCTTTTCTTTATAACATACCCAGGTTGTGGTACTACGATACAGCAATAGGAAACAGACTGAGACTAGGCTGTCATCCCTGGGTGCTCGGGCAGGGAGGCTGCTCTTATCTCTCAGGCCTGGTTGGGTGGAGATTCAGGAGATACAGAGTAGCGTTCTTGATCTTTGATCTTGAGTAGTAACAAGTAACATGGGACACTGGACATGCTAGTCACCGGGCACACTGCGTGACACAACCGGAGCAAAAGCTCCAGCCCGAGCCTGTGGAAATGCTGTCCGGTCTTAGTGAGAAAAAAACACAGATCACAGGGAAACTTCCCTGCACTGCCCATTAGAGCAGGTTTATGTCCTAATACTATGGGTTCAACTGTGTCCCTTCCAGAAGCAGCATGCTAAAGCCCTAACCTCCTGCACTTCCAGCTGTGACCTTGTTAGGACTGAGGACCTCTGTGCATGTAGTTGGATAAGTGAGACCCCCCTGGGTAGGCTGAGCACTGTGATCTCCTGGGACTAGGACTGAATGATGGCCCCGTGAGCTACTTATGTGGGAGCTACGGAACTGGAAGAAGCGAGGACAGATCCTCCCAGAGGGATTTTCAAGAGAATACAGGCCTAACCTGACCTTGATTTCAGCCAGCCTCCAGAGCTGTGAGAACAAATGCCTGTTGTTTCAGCCGCCCAGTGTGTGTGATGCTTTATTACAGCAGTCCCAGGAAACTCACCCAGTGCCCTCTCTACCATTCCTTCTCCTAAAGACATGTTTCACAAGATGCAATAAGAGATCATAGTGTTTCTAAAATGGATGAAAATGAAACATTTTGGGACTACCACCAGGACCAAATAAATGGCCCTCTTCCCTCAGACTGCTTGGACAAAGAGAAGGCTGGGCTCAGGATTCCTTCTCAACCCAACGATGATCTCTGGAATCTGGATCTTGTACCAAGTTCAGGCTTTTTGCATGCCAATCAACATCAACACTGCTTTCTTCCTGTGGTGTCTTGTCCAGCTCATGACTAGGCAATAAGAAAACAAACAAACAAACAAACAAACAAAGCCCCCACCAGAACTCTGAGAACAGAATGGTTTTGAAGGTGAGGGGTTGTAATACCAAATAAAAATAAAAGTGATGAGTGAGGTAAAGAAGGAGGATACAAGCCTGGGAAGTCTTTGTTTCTGTGCAGACGTGAGCAAGAGAAATGAAAATGGCTTCCAAAGTAAGCGTTCTCTCTTTTTGCAACCAATAGTTATCTAATAGCCTTGTCAACATTCAGAAGGGCAGGCAACCCTCCCAAGATAATAATTACACCCGTGGATCTTGTGAGGCCTCCTGATCCAACTTCCCTCTGACTCCCATGGGGAGCCTCTTCATTTTTGCACCTCTGACGGGTGACAGTGTTTCGGCAAACTGGACTCCTACACTGGTTTGAGCCACCATTGAATGAGCATGCAGGGGTTCACAGGTGGTGGTGAAAGATATGCACATGTGTGCTGAATTCAGCTGCTCCTGTCACCGCCACGCTGCAAAGCTGCACCCTCGGGGACACACAGGGTGCTTGTGACCCAGAGCGGACTCACACCTGGGCCTCCCAGGGGCTTCCCTTCCTTGCAGCTGATCCCATCTGCTTTTCTGCAAGGTGGCATTATCCTTCAGGGAGCAAGTCTGGGCAAGAAACAACAGGTGCAAGGCAGCAGCTCTAGGATGAGGACAGAAGCTAGGAAAGAAACTAAGGAGGCGCGCAGGTGGCCCTCTCCACAGCAGCTGCAGCTCTCACACAATCACATTCCCAGGCACTGACCTGCTTCCAGAATGAAGCGTTAGCTAGTGTCACCCCCCTCCCCCGTTACTCTACAGTATTCTTTATTTGTCCTAAAAACACTCTTGGACAAACCTATTGGTTTGTCATCTATGCCTGGAGCAAGCGGTACTCTCGATGGCTATGGCCTCCGTGCTTGAGTTCTTTTGCTTAAAATACATTAGAAGGGCTGGGGCGATGGCTCAGTTGCTAAAGTGCTTACCACATAAGCCTGGACACCTGAATTCACGCCTATGTGAAAGCCAGATCCAGTGGCCCACGCCGGTAGTCCCACAGAGACAGGAGCATCTCTGTGGCTCGATGGACCATCATTCTAGGCAAATCGGTAGGCTCTACTTCAAGTTAGAGGCCCTCGGCTCTCAAATGCACGCATGCATGCGCACACATACACATCTTAAGTAACTGCTATCTTTTCAGAATAAGCTGTTAATCAAAAAGACAGACCATACAAGCCAGAGGCAAGTTTCAAATGATGTTCTAATTTTGCACATACGGGGAAAAACCATGGTCAGAAATCTGCTCACGTACATCAGAGCCTCTTCCACGCATGATAGAAAACGTGTAGCTGTAAGATGCATTGACTCTAGGTCACTCTGTGCCATGGACAGGCCTGGGTAACTTACCTGCTCTGTCTCCACGAAGTTGGACACGTGGCCATCGTCATTTACACCACGGGTGAGGAAGCGAGCACCTGCACGTTCACAGCTGATGCGAGAGATGAGACAGGCCTTGGCCTGCTTGTGGGAGGCGTACACCGTGCGGATGCTCACCACCCCACAGATGACTTTCAGCAACCAGTCACAGCAGCTCACCTGGTGCTGCCTCAGGGGCACATGCAATAGCTGGTTCCTGCAAAACAGCCCCACCTTTGGGTCACCCTACCAGGCTCTACAGATGTTTCACCCAGAACAGCCAAGTACTAAGGAGCCCAGTGCTCCACTAGGCTGTCGTCGCATGCAATTTCATCCAAGCAGAAACATTCTGTCCTAAAGGGAAACTCCTTAAGACTCAGGAAGTTCTGAAAGGAGGCTCTTTAAAACTCAAAAGTTCTCAATAGAAACTCCTTAAGACTTCAGAAGCAAACAATTCACAAGTCTCAAAAAGTCCCTGAAACTTAACAGATTCATAAGACAACCCCCCTTCACTCCTCCCATCTTAAGGTTATACAACCAGCAAGGGCCACTAAGGAAAGGTGACTCTCCGACCTGTGACCTGCCTGCAAGTAGTGCATAGAGCTACAGGGTTCTAGATTTCATCAATTCTCATCCACACTGGGGTAGGTGTCCTATAATGCAGCTGCCTTTGAGATGTCCATGTTTCTCTAAGTAAACTCTAACCCACACTCCTGTAAGTAGCCCAAATAAGCTCAGTGGTTCATCAGTGTACAAAGCTCAGTGTACTTTGATGGTGTCATTATTTTGGGTTACTGTGAGTTCTTTATCTAAGGTGAAAAGACTGTTTCTCAGGTCTCCCAGGAAGAATTATCATCCAACAGAAACAAACAATGACTACTTTCTGGTGGGCCCTGCAGTTGGGACACGTAGATTTAGAAAGTTCTGTGCATCAGAGACTCTAAATGGCAGAGCCAATGTGATTTGTATAGGAGGAAGGGGCCAGAAGGCCTTTCCATATATTACTACCAAGTGACAGCAAGGGCCAGAGGGAACAAAGCTGGAAAGGACACTGTTTAGGCTGGTCTGACATTTCTTTTTTATTAGAATAAAACATTTACTCGTAAGTCTACAGACTTGGCTCAGTGGTTAGGTGCTGCTCTTGCAGAGGACGCTGGTTCAATTCCCAGCACTGGAATTAGAAAACTCACAAGCACCTGCAATTCTAGCTCGAGATCCATCTACCTCCTCTTCTGGCCTCTGTGGGCAACGGTACTGGTGTGCACATACCCGTACACAGACACATAGCACAATTAAAAATAAATATTTTAAAAATTACGTGTATTTTGGCTTGGAGGTGGTAGTGCCCACTTTTAATCCCAGAATCCGTGAGGCAGAGGCAGGGGGGAATCTCCGAGTTCGAGGCCAGCCTGTTCTATAGAGTGAGTCCCAGGACAGCTAAAGCTATAGAGTAACTGTGTCTTGAAAAACATTAAAAAATTTCTCATGTTTTTATTAAGTAATAATAATGGGCAAAAATAAAAGGACATAAAACTATTAACTATGTATGCATTTATGTAAATTACACATATGCACACATAGATACACGAATACAGAGTGAGGTGAATACATAATGAAAGCACTATGGAAAAATCCAAAATAAGTTAAAAGGGATTAGATGAAAATAAAAGTTGATGAAAGCTCCAGTATTTATTTCCTCTCCACACCCTGCAGATTATTCTGGGCTCTGGAGACTGTGATGACAGCGATGGTTAAAACGGGACGCATGCAAAACTACACAGAGTACCATTCCTAGAGTGTTGGCGTGGATTGGTTTAACCCATCTGCTCAGTGACCCCATGTGAAAGGGGGTCATTGTTATCAGAAACCCCATTTTATAAAGCTGAGGCAGGAGAAGCGAAATGCTTGCCCTCACAGAGGGCACAGAGCTGGCAAATGCAGTGTGGAGTTCTAAAGCCCGAGTCTGAGTTTTACATACTGATTCCTTGGTCGACTGATTTCAGTGCCAGGGATAAAACTCAGGGCGTTATGCATGTTAGGCGGGTCCTTTCTCACCTCAGTCCTCGAGATTTAGCCCTCTTAGATGAAAGCCCTACGATTTCAGAGGGCCACATGATCTTCCCATCCCCCACCAACCATCCTCCCTCATACCCAGGAGGCTCCAACAGTGCCAGTCTGAGGCTTGTCACCAGGGAACTTTCTCTTACAGGGTCTGGAACAAATCTAGATCACAATGGCCTATTTGTTTAAAAAAAGGAAGCTGATTTGTGCCCTTGAGCTCTGTCTCCTTGTGATGCTTGCAAGTGGAGGATCTCTGTTTCTCAAAGCCTTTGGCCCTCAGGCCAGCTTCCGGGAGGAAATGTGACCACTGCTACCCACCACCACCCACCCCCAGCCCTGGTAAGCATGCCCACCCACTGGGTTCTCACAGGCGCAGCAGTACTGTTCGTGAAAGTGGCTGGGAAGGAAGACATCACAAAGACAGGCTGCTTAAAGATACTCTATGAACTTCAGACAAGAAACCAGTAACACACATTAAATGGTCTGCTGGCCGTTCCACTATGTTCCTTGTCACTGAGGGTTTGGAGAGTAGCCTGTCATCTGGACAACCTTGATCAGTTTTCTTAAGTGACTCTGGGGAGGGCAGTTCTGAGCTCAGGAAGAAGAGATCCAAATCTATCAAGAATAACAGTTTTTATACTCCCTGCCAGGCTTCCAGGGCATTAGAAAGAGACAACCGCTGGGGAAGGATGACCCCACTGCTGTCCTCTTCCTCATGCTCACCAGAGGATCCTATGTGGGCTCCATCTGCCTTCTGCCATGGCTGCCAGACCTCAGCACAGCACAATGGGTTGGGTGATGAGGCTATGACCACTTTGCCTGCTGACTCAGCAGTGGTCAGTTTCATGGGCTCAGCAGGGGTTCTGGGGAGGGCACCTGCCTGGAGCATCCCACAGCTAGTTCTGACTCCCAAATCTAAATCTAGTCTGGTATCTACTTCAAAGGGATACAATGGAGCCTCCCCTTCTCCAAGCCCTCCCAGCTCTACCTCTTTACCATCCTGACCCCGTGTTGCCTTACATTGACTGACCCCATACAAGATCAGTCAACGGGGAAACAGTTACAAAAGTGCTAGATAAGCCTGGTACCTAGGACCTACTGCTTCCAAGGAGCACCACAGCCTCTTCTGTGTTCACACATATTCCTTCCCTAAAGTTGCTTCAGAACCTCTGCACAAGACCTTCCTAGCCTTGGGCCACAGCTTCAGGATACTCCTGTGTGACAATGCTAAGGCACATGCTGGTCCCCAAAGAATAATCAGATATTGCCGAAGGTGCAACAAGTACCTGGCATCTTCAGCTAATTGTGAGGTCTGCAGCCCACCTGGGCAGCTGGTTAGAAATGTGGATGGAGTCTCAGACCCTGTCCCCACTTGCTGTACTACAGCAAGCGTGGCAACAAGACAGACAGGATTTCGTACGTGTCCTAAACCTGGCCACTTAAACTGGCAGACAGGGGGATCCAGGAAGATGTTGAGGCAGGAGGCTAGGGATGAATGAGGAGATGTGCTAAGGCTTGCTTTATCAACAGAAGCGAGGCATTCTGAAGCCCTACAGAAAGGATACTTGCCCTACCACAGGGATCCTTTGCTGGCTCCTGCGGGCAAAGCCAGGCAGGCACCAAGGAAGGACAAGAACAAGCCCCCATGTCTGTGTCTGGTGTGGCTCCAGAGGGCACTGACTGGACTAAAAGCCTTAAAAGACAAGGTTTGCTGGGACACCAGCAACAGTATCCCGCTGAGTCTGCCCGTTTTTCCCTCATCCACAGTAAATCTGAGAGAGCAGCACTACATAGAAAGCCTGAGCATGGTCCCCACAATCATTGCCCCTCTCAGCCTCCACAGGACCCAAGGCCCTGTCTGGATGGCCTGAGGAGAGCATCACTGTAGGGAAGGCCTGAGCAGGTAAAGCCCCAAAATTCCTTCTTCAGGGAATAGTTTTTTTTTTTCCCCATCTACCTGGACCATGTGAATATACTCCAGGAACTAAGCCCACAGGGTGGGGATGCTGTGTTAGATAGCTTCTCTCACTGCACAGAGAGCAAGTGTGGCTCTCAATGCCATTCCGCAGCTAACCCAGAACCCTAGCCAGATGCAAGATGGAAAGTAACAGTTCAGGTGTTACCCAGAAGTTGCCCTCTGTGACCCAGCTCCTTACCAGAAGAAGGAGGTTCCCCATTCAGAGCAGTCATCACCCTGTTTCTGTGCCCTGATGGTCAGATCAAAACAGGAGCCATCATTGGGCCATGCGAAATAAAATACCCCTGAGCTCAGGATTTTCTTCAAGGCGAGCAGGCGATCCTCTTCCTTGGCCTCTTCCTGCAGGGGGTAAAACTCAGTGGCAGTAATTTTGAAGATTTCCGCGTCTGGAATTCTGCCCACTGATGTGCAGCCTGTCACCAACGCCAGAAAACTCAAGGGGATGCCACCTGGAAGGGATATCACAGACAGAAGAGATGGCAGATTATGGACACTGAGGAGGCTGCATCCCAGAGTCAACCCAAACCCTACCAGGAGGGCCTCTCTAACTTCTGTCCCCTAGGCTTAGGGTGGTACTGCCCAGCTTCCCAGCCTGCACCCAAGCAGGAGCACAGCTGCCATGCCTGTCTTCCTCAGCCTAGAAGAAAAGCCTCTGCTCTAACAGACTCCAGGGTGATTCTGAAGGCATTCCCACCCCAGCCTCTCCCTTCCTCCCTCACCTTTCTACTACTCACTTCTCAGCCTCAGCTCTGCCCTGACAGGATGAAAGGAGAAGATTTGGTCCCAGCCATCTACCTTCTAGACTAGCACAAGCCTTTTAGCTATCCTCCCTTTTCTGACCCCAGCCCTCTTCTAAATCTGTGCCCAACATCTTCCAATCCATCCTCCTTCGCTCCGCCCACATCCCACCCCTCAGCCACTGGCTGGGCTCAGGTACAGCAGGGATACAGCTGGTAGCAGGCCTCCCCTGCTCAGATCCCTCTGTGGCTCCCAGGACAGAAAATGAAAGTTCCCTTTGCTCTGCACCCCACCCTGTATCATATCCCCACCCCCATATGTGGACTGTTCGCAGGCAGCTGCTCTCTGGGGCTGCGCCTTGCTGTTCCTCAATGTACCACGCATGCTTACATACACTCCGCAGTTTTATGGGAGACCTCCTCCCACGTGGATAAAGGTTTCACTGCCATCTGCCTAGCAAAGAACTCCTTCCAACTTCCCTATTGATGTCCCAGCCTCAGCTCTTTTCTGGCAGGGTGGAAGAATGAGTTTTGGGTCCCAGCCTCCCACCTTTTGGGTATCACAGGTCCTCCTTCCCTTTCTGGTCTATGGGCAGCACCTCCTCCAGCGAGCCAGTCCTGTTCTCCCACACAGCTGGGTGGCCCTCTTTGGATGAGAAACTTCCCAGAGCGCTTGGACACAGAAAGCCAGCAGCCTTTGTTCTGGCTGTGCCCCTCAGCAGCTGAGCCTCCCCAGCATCAAGGCTAGAGCTATCATCTCCCGGCCACGCATGTACGTGAACACTTCCTATATAAATGCCAGTGCAGGAGACTGATACACGCTTCTCCAAGACCCTGCCACACTGTCTCCGGCTGTTCCACGTCCTACCCAAGTCAAGGGGTGGTGGCAATGCTGTGTGTCCCTTCAAAAGACAGGGCTCAGGAGATAGCCCCAGTAGGTGAGGGGTCTGGATCTATCAGGATCTTCTTCATACCCTGCTGAGGTCTAAAAGATATGTCCCAGCAAGATTTATTCCAAATGACCAGGAGCCTCTCACTAGCTGAAATGATGCTCCCTGTCACCTTTACGTCTCTCCACACTCTTATAAAAGACAACAAAGGCACCAATCCCACCACCCACTGCCTCCAGCAGACTCCCCTTCTCACACTTCGTTGGAAGAGCACAGCACCGTGAAGGGGTGAGCGGTTTTTATTAAAGAGCAGCTGCTGAGTAAGTAGCTCACGGCTTACACATGCTGGCTGATGCACTGTGGGAGGAAGTGCATCAGGATATTGGCTTGGCATGTGCACCCCCAGGAAGCCACTTTGAAACAGGCAAAGAACCAGAGTGTTCTGCTGGGCCACTGAAGCAGTTTAGGGCTAAGGCTTTCCCAGGAGGACAGGTGAATTTCAGTGGGGCGGACACTCTCAAGGTTAAGAGGGTCCATGACCTTCGTACCTGGCTGCCCAAACTGATGAGCTTAGTTCTAGGGGAAAACAGTATCCAGCAAAGGCCCCCGGCATGGCCAAGATAGGGCCCCATGGTCTGGGCTGGAGGTACAATGAAGGAGAAGGAGATGAAGAGGGCTCATAGAGAACGAGAAGGGATGGTGCCACCACAGGAAGTGACATTCAGCTGGGTCAGGGTTCCAGAAGGTATGGGTAAAGTAGAGCCATCAATGGGAGTGTAGAGCACAGCCAAATACCTTAATATGGCTGATACTTAGGACAGTGCTTCATGCACAGGTATTATACAAACAGTAATTAGTTGTCTCAACCACCTTTGTCAGCCCATTTTATAGAGAGGGAAAAGAGACAAGCAGAGGCTAGGAAGCCAGGGGTGACTGAGTAGGGGACCTGGGATCATCTAAATGCACTGTCTGGCTATACTACTTGGGCAAATTATTCAGCCAAGTTTGGCTCCACAGCTGGCACTCCCTATGCTGCTGACAGGCAGTAGGGCCAATGGGCCTAACAACACTGCTCTTGAGGGCCACCGTTTTCATTTCACACACAGGTGTCTCCAAGAGAGTTGAATCATGACCCAGGCACACTATTCTGGGTTGGAACCCCACTGCAAAGGTGGGGTTTCCTAGCCAGGCATGGTGGCACATGCCTCTAATCCCAGCACTGGGGGAGGCAGAGGCAGGCAGATCTCCATGAGTTCCAGGCCAGCCTGGTCTACAAAGCCAGGCTAAGATAGACAAGGCTACACAGAGAAACCCTGTTTGAACAAACAAAAACAAAAACAAAAACAAAAACAAACAAGCAAACAAACAAAACTGGGATTTCCTTTAAATCTGAGGTCTGCCTGCCCCTGGCCTTTGGTACCTTGCTTGATCTTGCACTACAAGATCTTGCACTACCTGTGATCTTTAGGAGCCACAGATCTTGCCTCTGGAACTTTGCTATAGTAGCTCAAACAGACCAACAGACTACTCTTTGCTTATTTAAAAATGCACATAGAGGCTTTCACCTGCAGCTTAAAAGTAATATTGAGACAGTGGAAAGAGATGAGCTCTCTCTTGGACACTGGTGCTAAGTGCTGTTGCTTTAAAAAAAAATCACAATCAGTGTTAATAACTTATTTAAGTTTTTAGTGTAAGAATCCTAGCATTTGTTTTCCTATAAATAGGCTAGAACAGTGGGCAATCTGATTCTAATTGACAGCCGTTGGACTATTCCTTGTTGCTTGAGCAAAAAGATTCAAACAGCTGGTGGATCACCCTTGTGCTAACGCCAGCTGTTTTGAAGCCTCCACGGATGCTTTGAGAAAGCTGCACAATGATCACAGCTGTGGCTCTGGCTCCTGAAGGTACGGCCTCAGCCAGGACTGCTCAAAAGAGTTCATGTCAATCTCATTTTGCTATCACAAGCATCATAAGTGACATTGCCACCATTTCCACCAAGGCCAAAGAGCCTTTTCCCAGGGCCTAGCTAAGGGATTGTTGTGATCAGTGCAAAAGGGACAATGCAATGATTAGTACAAACAGACACTTGCATTTATATACAAAGTGTGCTGTGATTAGTGCAAACACAAACCTGAATTTACATGTGAGGTGTGGCCTGATTGGTCCAAATACCCCTTTCTTGGCTATATAAGAAGGCTGATCTGGCTCACTTAGTGAGTGGGCTGGGAGACACCAACCTGTGCTGTCTGCCCTCAGCGTTGCTGCATTAGCCCAGTCAACTGCTTCTCTAAAGGGACAGCAAGAAAACAGCAGCCAGCTGCAGCTGCAACAGCTGAGCCTGCAGCTAGCCAAGCTGCAAAAGTAGCAGGGCAGCCGCCTACCTGACAGAAAAGTAGCCAGGGCAGGAATAGAGGAGATGGCAGACAGTACCTATGAAGATGGAGGGCTGTAGGCAAAGAAGGACTGGTTCTAAAGGGCTTGAGAATAGAGACTATAGTCTCCAAAAGAGTTCCAGGGAGCTGCCAAGCCTCTAAGGCCAAGGGTCTCAGACTTAGGCTGGGAGCTGTAACATGGGCTGCTGTCAAGGGCTGAGGAATCAGGATACCTAGGCCTGCCCACAGGCTTCACTACCAGTTGCTATGAAGGGCTAAGGAGTCTGGATGACTTCCTGGAGGCCTACAAGTTTTAAGACTTCTAAAGAACGGTCCTGATGCCAAAGGTCTGCATGCAAGCTGTAGCACTAGAGGGCACCACCAGCAACTAGGTGGGACAGCTGGCAAGATGGTCCATCCATTAGAAGTACTTGCCTCCATGCCTGATGACCTGTCCTAGTTTGCTTTTTGTGGCCGTGATAGATACCACGACCAACATCAACTTAGAGATGGGTGTATTACACTTCATGCCTTACAGAGCATCATTGAAGGAAGCCAGGGAAGGAACTTGGAGGCTGGAATAGGTGCGGAGACCATGGAGGAATGCTGTATGTGGGACTGCTTCTCCTAGCTTGTTGGGCTACCTTTCTTTCATAGCCCAGGGCCACCTGCCCAAGGAATGCACTGCCCACAGTGGACTGGGTCCTCTTAAGTCGGTCAGCAATCAAGAAAATGACCCCACAGACGTCCCCACAGGCCAGTCTGATGGAAACAATACCTCAGCTGAGATTCCCTCTTCCGATAAAGACCTAGGTTGTGACAAGCTAATAAACTAACCATCACATGACCTTAGGTCAGGTTCCTATGTGGTTAAAGGAGAGAACCAACATCTGTATGTTGTCCTTTGATCTAACACAAATGCCACATGCATACACATGGCTATGCATGCATGTGTGCCCACACACAACACATAAATAAACAAACAAATACATATATACACAAATAAGTATACAAGATGTAAAAAATAAAAATAAAAAAAAAGGCAGTTTCTCTGTTGTTACAAATGGAAAAATAGCCCTAGAGAAAGTAACTGAACACAGAAGGTCACTTGGTTGTGAAGATGGAGTTAGGACCAGAAGAATCTGCTGGAGAATGTCCAGGGCTAGCTGTGCGTTGCAAACGTTCAGGAGACACTACAGACTGGGGTTTGACTCACCCCCTGAAGCTAGGAAACAGGAAGGTCTTGAGAGTTCAGGTCAAGGAGGAACTGAACCCCTGGGACCACTTCGGTTTCTTTTTTTCTGCTGGATTCACTTTCTGTGCTTTGTATTGTGTGTAAGCCAGCCAGCTCCCAGCTAATCATGGGGGCACCCACCGCTCCCTGCTGGCAAGCTCAGGATGGGCTCTTACACAACCCATCATGTTTCTCAATTTCTAACACAAATGTCTGTTCTTCTTTTTGAACTTTAACTTTGTCTGAAATGAAAGCCCAAGGGGAAACCAATAGAAGCCACACCCCACAGGGCACCACCCGAAACACCCAAGGATGAGAAGCACGGAGGAAGACAGCTCAGAGTTACAGGTCAGGGAGACACAGAGGTAAGGAACCCTGGGGTAAAGCCAGCGCTCCCTGAATGTACAGGAGGCCACTGGGTTGGACTAGCTTGGTTTTAATGTCCAACCATCTTTCAGATACCAATACACTTTCCAGAACGTGCTAACTCAAAGCTGAGTAACCCCAACACACTCGAAGTCAAATTCCCCCACCAGGTCCAGAGAGCCTTGAAGCCAGCTCTGTAGGGGACCCTTAGAAGCAGCTTTGGGATCTTGGAGGACATCAGAAACCAAGCTGGTGGATTCACCATATCCAAGCGTCCGGATGATCAGGCACCCTGCCTGGCTGGCTAGTCTGGCCTGGCCCAGCAGGAGGCTATATCGACTCACTTCTGAAGAGGGACAGTGGTGGACCTAGTGAGGCTCTCTGGCCAGCTGGGGGGTTGGGACACATGGTGACTGTACTCCATGCTGTGGACTCCTCAGATAAGCCTGCTTACTCAGACAAGGATTCTTTAGGAGTTGTTCCTCATCCTGCTCAGACCTGCATCTGACCTCAGCTCACACCTCAGGAAAATCCCTGTCCTGTGAGATAGTGCAGGCATCATGTGTCACTCTTCCTGTCATTTGTCACCCGTCTCCTAACAGAAAGATACACAAGGTAGCTTGTGATGCCACAGGGCACGTGTGTAAAATCCAGGTCCCACTTGAAAACAACTTAAACTCATGTCAGTTACCATGCTTCTCTGAGTCCACATCTCTGTCAGGTATAAATACACCATCCATTTGTGTTAAAAACAAAAACAAAAAACTAAAAACTGCCAACTATACCTTTAAGATTGGACTGTGAGCTATGCCAAGTGCCAGGGTGTTACACCAGAGGAAAGGGGACTGCAGAGGGGTGGGGCTGAATCCCGGCCTTCCCTTCTGTATGTAAGCAGGAAGACAATCAAGCCTAGCTCCTTGGGCAGCAGGGTAACACTGGAGCCATGACATTACACCCCAGCGCAGAGGAAGCAGCACGCCTTCCGACCCTTACAGTGGAAGATCCTGGCTCCCCAGGTCTGTAACTCAGAAAGATCCCACAGAGGGAAAGCCTGGCCCAAATCCTCATCTGCTCACATCCTCAGGAAAGAGGGAGGGTTATGAATCCCAGCTGAACTCTTCACTCTGTTATCTCTGAGCCTGTTTCCTTTTCTACAAACAGGGAGAGAGATGGTTAACACATCGGCTGGTACCAAAGACTGAACATGTTAACCTATGACTAGTCTTTTGGCACAACACCAGCATCTAGAAAGTGCATTGTGTCATGTGGGGACCAAATGTTTTTGCTAAACATTTCCGATTTGGAAACAAGGACTGGAATCATCCTTTCTAATGGAAAAAAAAAAAAAGAAGCCACCCCAGAAATGGCTCAGAAAAGTATTGGCAAGCATATTACTGCTGTTTGGCTAGCCCTGAAACCCTGTCCAGACAGAGGCTGTGTGCTACAGGGAAGTTTTACTCCTCAGCTCAGGAAAAGCCCCCAAGACCTGAAATTGGAAATTTCCCAGCCATTCCCGACAGGAATGTGCCCTGCGCCCTGACCTTGGCTGGAAAGGCCACTGGCCCCTACAACCTGGTCTTTTGTGAAAGGTGGAACTGACCTAAAAGCAGGCTCTCCTCTGTGAGAGGAAGGAAAGACCAGGAGCCACAGAGCTGTTGCAAAGGTGGCTGCCGCTGGCTCAGGGCAAGCAGGACTACCCACTTCTTCCTGTGTTCTCTCTCTTCCGTCAGACCTATTTGGATGTAGTTTCTTTTCTCTCTCACTCCCACACAGAGTGTTGCAGTTTTTCTCTCCTGGCCACCAACCCCCCAGACCAGCCCTTCCTCTCCGATACACCCAGGACGTCCAGTGATGCTGTTTCAGGCAATGGTTCGAGCCACCGTCCAAGTCTGCCGACCACAAACACCTATGAAGGTGGCAGATGCCTGAAAGGCACACGCAGTGCCACAGCTGAAACCCCGGCCACCTTGAAGAAACTTAGGTCTAGAAGGCAGGAACACAGGTAAACTTCCCAGCACCCAGAGCTGGAAGCCATGCCCCCCCCCCCCCCCCCCCCCCCCCACACACACACAGAGGAGCAGGCTGAGAAACATAAAGCAACATCTTCAGAAGTGAAAGTGGCTAACACGGAATTTCTGACTGGACAGCCTCCCCAGGCTAACGCCAGGGACTGCCCACGGCATGGAGGCCAGACTAAGCCATGGTTACTCACCGGATCTTAACCTCAGCTCCCCGAGGCAGCCATAAGCATCCGTCAGCTTGCCATACTGTCCTTTAATGACTTCCTTCTCTTCCGGAGCTGTGGTGGGAGAGGGGGGAACACATCAGAGAGACATCAGCAAGCAAGTGGCTCTGTTCATGCTCATTCATTCACACTGTGCTTGCCAATCTGGCTCTCACCCACGCGAAAAAGGAAAGGCAGACAATAGCACGTCCCACAGATACCATGTGTACAGGTTTTAGGATCCGAGAATCATAGAGAGGCAAGGATGTAGACCTTCCCACGGAAGGCTTGTTCTCTGGAAATGCTGGAAGCTTCCTGGGGCTCCGGGTAGGGGGTGTAGCTGGAGAAAGTGCGGGAAGCTGTGGGGTGGCTAGCGGTGGGTGCTGGGGCATCTTGGCTCTGGCCTGTTACATCACACCACTCATTTCACTGCAAACACTTAGAAGAGCAGGGTGAGGTCTCACGATACACACGTAAGAACTTCCCTTCCTAAGGGCCAGCCACAGGATCTTTATCTGAGACCCCCAAAACACCTACTAGGGGCCACCAGAGCACAGGGGTCAGGGTAACTTGGGGCCGGGGCAAGTGAGCCCCAAGGCAAGCTGCAGACTTTACCTGGTGGGCACCTGGCCACCTAAGCAAAGGCCCAGCCTGGCTTAGAGCAGGAGAGGAAGAAAGTGCACAGGGACGCCACAGGCACCTCTGGAGATTCCAGGAGTGGGAGCCGGCCTAGGGGCCCTTTCTCATACTGATGCTTCAACTGCATTAGAACAATACACAAACCCTAATCATTGTGACAACACTACACTGTGTGAAAAAGGTAATCACTGAAGACCGCACAAATAGCCATGTGTATAAGATATCAAGAACTCAGAGAGGCAGAGAGCAGATTCATGGCTGGCAGGGGCTGAGCGTGGATGAAGGAACATGGAGATTTGCTAATGGAGTCTTTCTTAAAGGGGCCAAAAATATTCTAAAATTAGATTGTGGTGTTAGTTAAGATAACATTGTAAATGTTAAAATACTTAAAAAAAAAAACAAAAAAACAAAAACAACGTGGACCTATACATTTTCTGAGATCAGTTGTGTGGCATATGAATCACATTTCAGTAAAGCTGGTATAAAAAACAACAAAATGAGAAGACCAATCTTACTGGAATCTAATCATTAAGGTATTGAAAAATTTTCCTTTATTTTTTTACTCTGTGTGTTGTATACATATATGTATAATGTACTTGCATCACAGGTATGCCTGGTGCCAGTGGGGGTCAGAGAGAGCATTGGATCCCCAGAACTGAAGTTATGGATGGTTGAGAGCCATCATGTGGGTGCTGGGACCCAGGTCCTGTACAAGAGCAACATATGCTCTTAACTGCTGAGCCATCTCTTTAGCCTTCGGTTAGCAAAATATTTTAAAGTCTGCAATGCTTGCCTAGCATCTACAAAGCCCTGGTTTTGAGCCTCAGCACCACATGCAGGCAAAAATGTTATGATAGAGCAATATATATGTCTTACTGACAGTATGTTTTAAAAATTTATTTCACATTTGTTTGAGGGTAGGAGGGTCATGCTGCAGGACACGTGTGGAAATCATAGGGTAATTTTCAGGACTGTTCTCCTTCCACTATGTAGGTTCTGGGAACTGAACTCAGGGGGCAGGTGCCTTTACCTGCCAAGCCATCCCAAAGGCCCTATTACATCATCTTAAATAACAAAATCTGAACTGGGAGCCAAGGCTCACACAGGTAATCCCTGCCCTCAGGGGCTAAGGCAAAGGACTGCCAGGAGTGTGAGATGAACCAGGCTACAGAGTGAGACCCTGCCTCAAGCAGTCTAGAACAACAACAATACAGACAAGTAAACACAGCCCCTCAGGGCCACTGAATTGCAAACAGGTAAAGAGAGAGAAACTACTTTACAAGACTTCCCGTGAGGTAGAAGTGATCACCTCAGTGACAGATATGGCATATAGGCAACGACCCTAACCAGCTGGAACTAAGTCTAAAAAGGTCTATGTCTCCTTGCCCTTCTAACCTTTCTCCCATACCTAGGGTTGGGGGCTTGGAAGGGCAGTAGAGGCACAAGGATCCCCAAATAAAGTAGAGTTTAAAAACAGTGAGAGAGAGAGAGAGAGAGAGAGAGAGAGAGAGTGAGAGAGAGAGCACACAAAGGACACTCTCACAGCAGCCCTCAATATAGACAAGCTGGAAACAACCTGGCTTCCTGCCCTCTGTCCACCCAGAACAGGTGAGTATTCCGAGCACTGACAAATGCCATAAGCACTGAGCCCAGCATTAGCTGACTCACCCAGACACCTCAGTTCAAAGTATCTACAACAGACTGGGCTCCCTATCTCTCTCAACTGTTCCTCTAATGAACGCATACATCCACATGTTTTTACAGGTTAGAAACAAAGAACTGGGTCCCAGTGCCAGGGCCACCTGTTCTCCATGCATCCCTCTTTTTCTCTAGTTGGGCCCAGAGGCAGTGGGAGGCCACCAGGTTTCCCTTGGCACAACCTGTGATCCCTACCAAGTAAGACACAAGGTTTCCGGGACTGGTGATTGCTGGGATACATACACCTGGAACCGTCAGTGAGGTGAGAGCCAGCCCCTGCCTCTCTCTACAGGCAGGATGGAGCCAGGAGGCCATTTCAGAATAATGGCTGACCACCAACATGGCTGAGATACCAATACCCTTAGCTGTATCAGGCTGCAGGGAGACTCTGTCCAGAACCGCCAATAGCCTGAATTCTCCCCTTAGGGACATCCACTTAGGTAAAAGCAGGTCATTGACTATGCTTGAGGAAAAGGAATTCAGAGTGAAGCAGAGTTAAGGAGTTTATTATGTAAAGCTAAGGGTAAATGCATGCTTTACTAAAGCATTTAGAAGAGAGAATTTCTTAGGGAAAAGACAGACACACTTAACAGAGACACAGGCCAGGGCTTTCCAAGAGGGAGTGTTACATTTAGGTATCCTCATGAAGGCCAGATAAGTGGTTTCGTAGCCTGTGATTTACAATAAGGCTTGAAGATTAAGCGAAGTGTAAAAAGTAAGTATAAAAACACGTATCAAAACACAAGCTGGATTATTTATTTCTCATCTTAAAGAATTAGCTTTGGTGGACTAGTGAGATGCCTGAGTAGTTAGAGGCCATCCGGGCCCAACAAGCTGAGTTTGATCTCTGGGACGTACATGGTAAAAGGAGAAAAACCATTCCAGGAAGTTGTTCTCAGACCTCTACATGTGTGTCATGGCACTTGGATACACCCACACATACATACATACACACACACATATGTACATACAGGAACATGTTTATGTATACATAGTCACAAAATAACAATAAAACTTCTTTAAAAGGAATTAACTTTCATAAATTAAATTGTAACGTGGGTTTATAAGGTGTATTATTTAGATTTAGGGTTGAGAGAAGAGTGCTAAAGGGTAAAACTGTGGTGGGCTACTGAACTATAGCTATGCCATCTCATGAGAGTATTCCTAAGAATACTTCAAGTGCTAAAACTAATTTGGTTAGGCTGGTCTCTGGTCACATAGCCATGAATTCCTAAAGCAAACTGGTCTCTGGACCAGCCATAAATTCCTATACCATGTGTCCCTGACCTCAAGGTTATGAGAACTGCCTGTCCAGTGAACTGCTCTCTCTCCACTGCTATAAGCGCTTGCCTGCAGATGTCCACAGCTGCCTTTCTAGATATGTCACAGCTGTGGGTTTTGCCTCTAAAAACTCAAACAAATTGGAGGTTGTGTCTGCCTCCCGCTACTCTCCCTCTCCCTGAGACAGCCCTGCTGGCAGTGAGTAAGGGTTCCATCTGCCTTGACTTACTCAGGCCTCTTGGTGTTTTTCTTCAGGTACCCCAAAACAAAAACTCAAGGCTACAAATATTCTGGCCTCAGTAAGTACAGTCTGAGTAAGTACAGTAAGTACAGTTTTAACATCCTCGTTAGAGGCATGTGCTGAAAAATAAACACTATATCTTTGAAGAGTTTAGATCTTATCACACAAAGTTACTGAGTCAGAGCTTCTCTTCTTTTCTGTGTCCTTTAATTTTTCCTCATCCTCAGCTCACATTTGTGGCTGTTCCCTTTAAGATACCAGGATGGCTACAGCCAACTACTGTGGCTGTGCTCCAGAGGAAATTAAGGTGAAGGTTCTAGTCAGAGTTGTCATTAACCAGCCAGTACATAACCTCACTGTACCTGTGCTTCTGTTTAAACACACCTTAATCACACTGAATTCAGAGCCAAGAGGCCCTATCATAGTAAAGCTTATATAGTAAAGCTTATAACACAGAGTGGTTTTTTCCGTAAGGGACGCCACTGCCTCCTTGCACATCAAAGTGCTGGGTGGTCTCAGCACTGGGCTGAGAGCCTTTGTTTTCTCCGTCATCTATCTCTGTATCTCGCTATCTTCTATCTATATATCTATCATCTATTTTATGTGTGTCTGTCTGTCTATCTATCTATCTATCTATCTATCTATCTATCTATCTATCTATCATTTGTTTATTTTATGTGTATGGGAATTTTGCCTGCATGTGTGTCTGTGCACCATTTGTGTGCCTTGTATCTGTGAGGCCAGAAGAGGGCATTGGATCCCCTGGAACTATGGTTACAGACAGTTGGAGCTGCCATGTTGGTCCTAGAAATCAAACCCAAGTTCTCTTCACTGCTTAACCATTTCTCCAGTCCCCTGAGGGCCATTTAAAAGTATGAGGTCAGGGGTCAGCAAGAAGACTCAGTGGGTGAAGGTGCCACCAACCCTGGCAACATGAGCCCAATTCTTGTGAACCACATGGTAGAAGGACGGAACCTGCTTCCACAAGTTGTCCTCTGACTTCTGTGTGAGAACCCACGCACGTAGACACAAAAACAAATAAACTGGAGCGGTGGCTCGCCAGTTAAGAACACTGACTGCTCTTCCAGAGGATGCAGGTTCTAGTCCCAGCACCTACAAGAAAGCTCACAACTGCCTGGAACTTCTGTACTAGAGGACCCAACACCTCCTCTGGCCTCCATGCATGCGGCACATACACACATACACACACACACAC